AGGATCCTGGATCTGACTCACCTGCTGCTCTTGGAGAGTCTCCCAGAGAGGCAGGAGATACCTGGAGCTCATTCTGGCGATACAGACATGTGGTAGCAGCCATTTGATGGGCTCCAACTACCATGTGGACACTAGTGCTGGCAAGTGTCATTTTGAAATTCTCCTTTTAGCTTGTTAGCACTGGGACCTGGAGCCACCCACCCGCCTACTGGCCCCAGTACTTGGATGCCTCAGGCCAGGCAGCCAGCAAGGTAGAGACATAGCCCCCTACCAGCAAGCCCACTGCCTTAAGACACCCCGAGCCCAGAGCCTCCGCTGTCCACGTGGGTGCCTCCACCTGACTCTGTATGACGCTGCACTGGCACTAACCGCAGGACACCCAGAGCACTGCAGACAGAAACCCTGAGACCCAGCTCTGCCCACCAGCAGATAGACAACAACCCTTAGGCTCCCTGGGCCATGGTTCTATCCATCAGCAGGCCTATGCAAGCTATAAGACACCTTGTACCCCTCAGCCAACTGCCCTGGGATCCAGTCCCACTCATCAGAAGGGCAATATCAGATTTGAAGGAATTAATAGTAGAATAGATGATATAGAGGAATAGATCAGTGAGTTGGAAGACAGAATAGTGGAAAACACTCAGTAGAACAGAAAAAAAGAATGAAAAGAGATGGGGACAATTTAAGAGATGTCTTGGCCAGCATCAAGTGTTCTAATGTTCTCCTTATAGGGATCCCAGAAGGAGCAAGAGATAGAAAAAGAGGCAGAAAACATACTTAAAGAGATGACAGCTGAAAATTTCCCTAACCTGGGAAGGAAAATAGACATCCAGTTCCAGGAAACACAGAGAGTACCAAACAGGATGAATCCAAAGAGCGCAACACCAAAGTGAAAGTTAAAGTCGCTCAGTCTGCCTGACTCTTTGTGACCCCAGCGACTATAACAGTCCATGGAATTCTCTAGGCCAGAATACTGCAGTGGGTAGCCTTTCCCTTCTCCAAGGGATCTTCCCAACTCAGGAATCAAACCCAGGTCTCCCTTATTGCAGGCAGCTTCTTTATCAGCTGAGCCACAAGAGACGCCCACAACACCAAGACACATTGTAATTAAAATGGCAAAAATAATGGATATATAGAGAGTATTAAAAGGAGCATGGAAAAAGCTACAGGAAAATAACCACATTATATACAAGGGAATTCCCGTAAGGCTATCAGGTGACTTATCAGCAGAAACTCTGAAGGCCAGAAAGCAGTGGTAGAATTTATTTAAAGTGATGGAAGGGAAAAAATGCAACCAAGAATACTCCACCCAGCAAGCTTTTCATTCAGATTTGAAGGAGAGATTAAAAGTTTTAGAGTGGGTAGCCTACCCCTTTTCCAGGGGCTCTTCCCAACCCAGGAATTGAACCAGGGTCTACTTCCATTGCAGGTGGATTGTTTACCAGCTGAGCTACCAGGGAATCTCTTTTATAGGCAAGCAAAAGCTAAATGAGTTCAACACCACCAAACAAGTTTTTACAAGAAATGTTTAAGGGACTCCTCTAACCCAAAAAGAAAGAGCCATAGCTATAAACATGAAAATTACAAAAGGAAAATTCTCACTGGTAAGGAAAAATGCATAGTACAAATCATAAATTAGCCATATATAAAGCTGGTAGGAAGGTTAAAAGATAAAAGTAGTTAAATTATCTATATATCCAATAAGTAGTTAAGGGATGCACAAAACAAAATTGTAAAATATGAGGTCAAAAGCAGTCAATGTGGTGGGGGGGAGTTAAAATTCAGGGTTGTTAAAATGAATTTGAACTTAAGAGATCAGCAACTAAAAATTACCAGATAGATAAATAGATGATAGATAGCTATGCACAGTATGGGCAGTAACTTGTCAATAACTTGTAACACCTTAATATGGTGACATATTACACCTAGACTTATTGTGGTGACTATTTTGAAATGTCTGGAAATATCAAATCACTGTGCTGAATAATAGGAACTAACATAGTTTTGTAGGTCAGTGATACTTCAAAAACAAACAAACTCAGAAAAAAAAAAAGATCAGATTTGTGGTTACCAAAAGCGGGAAAAAAAAAAGATCAGATTTGTGGTTACCAAAAGCGGGAGTTGGGGGACAGGGAATTGGAAGAAAACAGTCAAAAGGTAACTTCCAGTTATAAGATAAAAATAATTACTGTGGGTGTAATGTACAACATGATAAATATAATTAACACTACTGTATATGATACATCAAAGTTGTTAAAAGAGTAAATCCTAAGAGTTCTCAAACACAAGACAAAAGTTTTTCTTTTCTATTTTTGAAGTTTCTTATCTACAGAAGATGACAGGTGGTCACAAAACTTATAGTGATAACCGTTTCATCATCTATAAGTCAAATCATTATGCTACATAGCTTAAACTTATAGAGTCAGTTATACCTCAGTACAACCAGAAGAAACAATTTAAAAATAAAAATGAAGTTTTTTTAAAAAACTTTTAAAATTTATAATATGACTATTCAAAAAATACCCCGAAACAATGTTAAAGACAATGTACAAAGTATTATTTAAATTACGTCTACTTATTACTGTTTTGCTAAAATTTGGACTTTTATGAGAAATAAAGTCCATGAAAGATTAGGTCAAAAAAAAAAGAGAAATGCTTGCTTCTTACACTTCCTAAAGTTGCTGTGGTTGTTCAGTTGCTAAGTTGTGTCCAACTATTTGCAACCCCATGGACCTCAGCACACCAGGCTTCCCTGTCCTTCACCATCTCCCGGAGCTTGCTCATTCTCATGTCCATTGAGTCAATGATACCATCCAACCATCTCATCATCTGTCATCCTCTTCTCTTCCCTTCAATTTTTCCCAGCATCAGGGTCTTTTCCAATGAATCGACTTTTCGCATCACATGGCCAAAGTATTGGAGCTTCAGCTTCAGCATCTGTCCTTCCAGTGAATATTCAGAGTTGATTTCTCTTAGGACTGACCAGTTTGATCTCTTTTCAGTCCAAGGAACTCTCAAGAGTCTTCTCCAGCTCTACAGTTCAGAAGCATCAATTCTTTCATACTCACACTTCTTTATGGTCCCACTCTCACATCCATACATGACTACTGGAAAAACCATAGCTTTGACCATACGGACCTTTGTCAGCAAACTCATGTCTGTATTATTTATTAATAATATGCTGTCTAGGTTTGTCATAGCCTTTCTTCCAAGGAGCAAGCATCTTTTAATCCTGTGACTGTAGCCGCCATCCTCAGTGATTTTCTAGCCCAAGAAAATAAAATCCGTCACCTTTTTCAATTTTGCCCCTTCTATTTCTATTGAGGGGCAGGGAAATAGGTTAATGCCATGAAGATCTAACCATCTATTGTTTTCTTCATTGGACTTCTTAAATAAGAGAACACCCTCAGTGTTACTGCAAAATGGAGCCCTAGATGCCCCATACTTCAGTGTGTGTACCCAGGAATTCAGGGCACTTAAGAGCCTCATAACCCTCGTCATTTATTTACCAGTCAAGTTCAGAGCACACACGCAATAGAAATTCTAGAAAGTATTCTATACACACAGATCTCCAGGGTAGAGAGGTAAACTAGACGCTGAGAACAACCATAGCAGAAACTGGCTGTAACTCACCAACCCTGTTTCTTCTCCCTGAGTCTATGGCTGGGCTGGTTTTGCCTGCCAGCCTTGCGACTGAGTTTGGCCAGTGACTGAGTTCTGGCTCGTATGATGTGTGAAGAAACGATAAAGCCCACTTTTATGCCCACAAAAACTCCTACTCTTTGTGGTCTTCCTTCCTTCCTTTCTTTTTTTTTTTTTCTCCTTATATGGTAGCTGAATGCAGACGATTTAAAATCCCTCGTGGACAGTGGAATTATACTATGGACCATCATCCAGGGAAGAACGTGGACATTGGACTATAACATGAGTGAGAAGCAAACATTTATTGTTTTAGGCCACTGAGATTTTGGAATTATTTACAGCAGCAAATATTACTTGGCCTAACTCATATAGGGACCCTTGTTGTTCTGTTTTCAATATACTGTGCTAATAAGAGAAACAATGATATATATATACAAAAGAAGACAATAAAGAGGAAAAACTCATACATCTTTTCTGTGAAAAAAAGATTATCTTTGCTTAATGGTGTAAAAAGCTTCCAGTAAGTTAATTGTACCAGAAATGACTACTAAGAGAATCATATTTCTACAAGGATAACTACTATAGAACAAGTTATATGTTTTTCTGTAGAAAAAAATAGTTCCCATGTGATAAAATTATACTTTAGGATATAACAAATACTTCATGAATCAAATTTCGATTTGAATTAGTCAAATCAAAAGAAAACCTGGATAACATATCCCAATGATAAAATACAATAAGTGTTAAAAAGAAACAATAGGCCTAGGGAATCCCTGGAGGTCCAGGGGTTAAGATTCCATGCTTCCACTTCAGGGGACATTAGTTCGATCCCTGATCGGGGAACTAAAATCTCTTATGCTACACATCACTGTCAAAAAAAAAAAAAAAAGTCCCCAAATGGAGTCACTTATGCCAAACCCCACCAAGACTAAATATCTAACCTGATTGCACTTTCAGCTTCTCCCAGGAGTGGAATTTGAAACCCACCAGTCTGGAATTTCCTGATAAACACTAGTGAGGTAGTCTGCTTAATAAGACCCCTGGCCTTCCCCTTCAGGAAGATGACCTTGCCTGAAATAATCCATTCTTTAACTTCCTTGTCCCATCCTGATTCTGCCTATGAAAACCGTCCATTTTGGTTTGTACAGCTCCTAGGATTTATTAGATGGGATGCTTCCTGATTTGTGAATCATGTAATAAAGCAAATTAGTTTTTTAACTTTACTCAGTTCAATTTTTCTTTTTCTAACATAAAAAAATTATCCATAACATTTTGCGTTATTCCAATAAAAGAATATCTGAATTATATCAATTGGTGAATGTTATTCAGCTGCCAGAGTTTCACTGTTAACAACCTCATCAAGGAGATTCTGCCTTTTGGTCCAGTGGCGGCAACAAGGAAAAGCTGGCTGACCATCTGGCAGGGATGCTCCGGTGAACTGTGCGGCCCTGGGTGAATGTGGGCGGGAGGATGCTCTGGTGGATAGTCCTGCCCTGGATGGATGTGGGCTGGAAGACATCTGAGGCCACTTTAAACTGAGAGTTTCTGTCCTAGGAAAGAAGCCAAAAAATTTTGCACACCTCTAGATTACTGAAGTTTTACAGATGTTATTTTGGGGCTTTCTAGAATGATTCTGTGACTTATTTTGTGAAAATTCCCAATTCTAAAATCTAAATAAGTAAAGCAAAAACAAAACAAAAAAAGCCAAACTTATTTGCATGTAATGAGGCCTTCCTGTTTCCCTGATGCCCTTTTGGAAAATAAAATTATACTGACTTTTATTACTGGAGCTTTTACTAATTCAGGGATAAAGCGAGTGTCGGTAGAATGGCAATCCTTTCATCCTAAAGAGCTATCAGCATTTCAAAAACAGGAAGGTCATTCTGCAACCTCCCTGTAAAACTAGGAGGGGGAAATGAATTTGAAATAAAGTAAATGGTTAAGAACTAGTGTTAATTGAAGATCAATCAGAAGTTAACCTACTTTACATCTGAGATGACTGTGCTAATTGATGGAAAGCTAGGATTCAATTTAAAAGCAGATGGTTCACATGCAAATTTGCACAACTCAAGTAATATAAAAGATTAGATACCCCCCCCCAACCCCGCCATAATTGTTTACCCCTTCCACAGACAGGAATGGACTCCAAAGACACACGGGTGAGAGAAGGAGACTTCCTCTTTCATTTTAGTTTTAGCGGTCTAGTGTCAGTAGGCAACTACACTGGGGATGGAGCAGGGGAAGGACAGGGCCTGGACGGTAAGCAGCTGATATGCATATTACGGAGCACAAATTGCCAGTAAGCTCCCTGCTTAACTGCTGTTGCACACGGAATCTCTGCTCCCAGCAAGGGGAAATTTGCAGGCTGGTCGCATTCATCACCAGGAAAAGCCCTGGATTTTATGCCGCTGTTGTGTTTGGTGGCTTGTTTTAATTAGGGACCGGGAAATTGATCAGTTTTAGCCTCCCAAGCACGGATTCGGGCTTAGGTGCTTATTCCTTTCGCCTCCATTTTCAGAATTAATTTCTACAATTCTTCAGCTGCATCAGCACTTTGACCCTGAGTTCACGTGAATCCCAAACAGCTGGCTGAGTTGGTCCGTGCAAACAAGGAAATGCATGAAATAAAGGCAAGAAGAATCACCGTCTCAGTCAAACAGTTGATCTAAATGCAGGACGAAGAGCTCGAAGTCCCCGTCTTTAATGACAAGCAAACAGCTGTAATAGAATTTACTTGGAGCCATCTTAGCTAAAGGCAAAATTTAAGATAAGACAAATGTTTTTAAAATGTCACTGTCTTAACAACCTAAAGAGCCTTTAGCACAATTTCCACGGGTGTCCTTTTAACAGTGAATGAATTTAGCATTCTGTAAACACTTGCCTGTAGTTTGGCTCTACACCCCAATACACATACACAAAACAAGACAAAGCCACAAGTTTCAGATGCAAAGATTGCACTCTAGCCTTAACAGATACATTCATAGTTTAACGGAACTCATTATTTTGGAAGCAAATAAATCCTTTAGTTCTTAAGAGGGTATCAAGTACAACGTTGTTTCACATTTCAAAAAACACCAGTACACACATGGTCTGGAACTGAAAATAAGAAAATAGGAGGAGAACAAGCCTTTAAAAGGAAAAGGTGATGAAAGGAATGTTCTACAAGGATTGGAGAATAAGTAATTAAACCCATACCACATATAAAGTACAATCAGACACTGCTTCGTTCTCTGTGAGGTCTCTGACTGCCGAAATATGTGAGAACATGTGAAATTTGCAAGGCCTCAGTTGCTCCCAGCACGTTAGAGAGACCAGTGCGTGTGTGCATGCATGCTAAGTCACTTCAGTCATATCCAACTCTTTGCGACCCTGTGGACTGTAGCCTGCCAGGCTCCTCTGTCCATGGGATTCTCCAGGCAAGAATACTGGAATGGGTTGCCATGCCCTACTCCAGGGCATCTTCCCAACCTAGGGATCGAACCCGCATCTCTTACGTCTCCTGCATCGCAGGTAGGTTCTTTACCACTGGGCCTTTTCCGGTGGCTCAGACAGTAAACAATCTGCCTGTAGTGCAGGAGACCGAGGTTCAGTCTCTGGGTTGGGAAAATCCCCTGGAGAAGGGAATGGCGACCCACTCCAGTGTTCTTGCCTGGAGAATCCCATGGACAGAGGAGCCTGGCAAGTTACAGTCCACAGGGCTGCAAAAGAGTCAGACATGACTGAGAGACTAACACACTTTTACTTTCTTTACCACTAGCGCCTCCTGGGAAGCCCCAGTGAGACCGGTGCTGCCCCCAAAAAGTTTGTCAGAACTCAAATTCCAGAGGTGGTAGTATACAAGGTGAAAATACAGAATTAAATTCAATGAAATGATTCTATAGCCAAACACATTAGGGAAGCACAGGCTTAAACAAAGGCACACAGGTGTGGTCGGCCGGAGCCTCCTGTCCCCTGGGCGCTCCCCATCACCCTGCGGCACTGTGCCTTCCTTCCTGGCGCGTCCGGATGCCTGTTTGTGTTTTAAGCCTCACCCACTCACCTCCTCCAGGGGCAGGTCAGCCCCCGAGGGCTCGGGGCCCTCGTGTGACAGGCCGTGAGATGCTGGCCAAGGCCGGCCCCGGGGTGCGGCCTGTGCAGCCCTGCGGGGGCCTGTGCGCAGAGGGCCCTCGGCTTGCTTCAATGCTCTGTTGTTGCTGTGTTGAGATTCACCAATTTTCAACAAAGGACCCCAGAGTTTCATTTGTCAGTTGGCTCCACCAGCTGACCTCGTCCTGGTTTTAACCGAAAGCGCAGACTCTAGAGACAGATTTTCACGCCTGGCGACTCCTCTGGGGGCTCAGATGGTAAAGGATCTGCCACCCAGCCGGAGACTCGGGTTCAATCCCCAGGTCGGGAAGATCCCCTGGAGAAGGGAGTGGCTACCCATTTCAGTATTCTTGCCTGGAGAATTCCATGGACAGAGGAGCCCGGAGGTCTACAGTCCATGGGGCCACAGAGAGTCAGACAGGACTGAGCAACTAACACTTTGACTTTTCATTTTTTTCCGCCACTTACTACCTGTTTGGTTTTGGACAAGTCCGTTCACCCTCCGTGACCTTCAGTTTCCGCATCTGTGACGTAGGAACAGTAATAGGACACTCTGAACTGGGTCTGGCTCACTGGATGTCTCATACATGCCTTAAATATCACAGCCTATCCCAACACCAACATGAGTACTGACCAAAGGGAACACTCAATATTTGAATTAGCGAGTACATGTGACGTGACGCTCATGTAAATCTTTCTGAAAGGAAAATACAATATGTATTTGACCATTATGTCATTTGACTTCAGAATCTGTGCTCTTGCAAAATCCAAAGAGTATACAATGAAGGTTTCCTTTTTCTTCCCCCTCAAACCTTTCTGCTAGCCCACATCTCTCCTCGGGGACAACCAATGCCACCAGGCTCTTAAGTATATTCAGATAGCCCATGCAGAAATGAGCAAGCTTATTTTTTTTTCTATTTCTCCATAAATGGTAACATATATAGCAAAACACATGTTTTTATCTATATATATAAACATATACCTAAAACATATCTGTTTTGTTATACATATTTGCTATATGTAGGTTTGTTACATATAAATGTGTGAATGTATATATACACCTTGATTTTTTTTCACTTAATGTTTCAAATCCTGAGGACGGCTCTAAGATCCTTGATAATCTATTTGTGGATACACTGTATTATGCTGTACAGATACATCACAATGTACTTAATGAGTCCTGCACTAAAGGATACGCAGATCATTTCCAACCTCTTGATGTGAACAGCCTTGCCTTATCGACTCATTGTTGTGTGACTACAGCCACAGAATACATTCCTAGAACAGAACTGCAGAGTCAAGGATACACATGTCTGTGTTTATAGTTTTGATGTGTTTTGCCAAATTCCTTATCAACACTGTCTGTTGGATACCTTGCCCCACTCTTACGGACACTGTATCTGAAACCTTTAGAACCTTTACTAACTGCTATTTGAAACAAGTGTCAGTTTAGTTGCTATTTGAAACAAGTGTCAGTTTAGTTTTAACTTGAATTTTTCTTACTATGAATAAAGCTGGGCATCTTTTCCTGTTTTTCAAGGAAACCATTTTTTTCTTATTTCCTCCCTTTCCCCCTATGTGCGTGCTTTTACATGTGTGTGTATCTGTGTATGTGAATTTTCTGGTCATATCCTCTGTATGGTTCTCTACTGAGATGAACTATTTAAAAATAAACTGTGATTTTATTATTAAATTGTAGGTGTTTTTGATGTACTCAGGAAACAAGTGTTTTATGATCTGAATTGAAAACAATTTATGAGTTTTTTTTAACTTTTTTGTAAGTTTATTATAAACAAATTTTCATTTTCAAGTCAAATTAAGAGTCCTTCTTCATAATCACTTTATTATACTGCTTATCTGAGCTTATCCTTTCAGACGTAAAGAGATTTCATATAACTTCATCTTACTCTCAAGAAGAAGATATCTTTCTTATCCCCAATTTTCAGGAGAGGAAAATGAGGTTCAGGGTGGATACTTAACTAGTCAGATGGTAGAGCCGAAGTTTAAACCCAGGTCCTTCGATTAGAATCCATCCTTCCAGTTGCCTCGCTGGTTGCCCTCTCAGATACCTGTGAGAACCGTGAAAGTCGTGCCAGCCCTTATTTTCTATCTTTTCGTAGTACTAACACAAGGCCAAGCACATAGATGTTCACGAAATGTGCGGCTGTTTGCCTTTACTTCTCTCTCTCTCTGTTCTTTCTCTTTTAATGTGGCTCTTCTGAGTAGCTCGTGCTAACTTCCTTTCAGCCTCTTATATTGATTTTTAGGAAATCCACAAAGTCCCCAGATAAGAGAGAAAACACAGGAAGACAAACATCAGACACAAAATAGCTAAAGGACATTTGCTTTTAGAATAGTCTAGGGTGGCTTCATTTGGCCAGATAAATGTTTTCACTTAAATAGGAAGCAAAGACTCCTAACAGCACACAGATATCCAAATCCTCAAATAATTACAAGGTCTCCTCCACAAAGTCATCCACCTGCAATGCCAGAGACCCGGGTTCGATCCCCGGGTCAGGAAGGTCCCTGGAGAAGGGAATGGCAACCCACTCCAGTATCCTTGCTTGGAGAATCCCCCGGACAGAGGAGCCTGGCAGGCTGCAGTCCATGGGGTCTCAGAGAGTCAGACACGACTGAACGACTGACACTATCCACAAAGTCAAAGGCCAGGTGGGGAGCTAGCAACATTTCCCAGCCACGGGGAGGTGCGATCTGGGAATCACAGGGCTTCAACCACCGCACACATCCCGCAGAAGTGAGTGACCCTCACCCAGAAGCCACCCCATCCCTGGTAGCCCATTCTGGGGTAGCAAGCATGTAGGCTCCAGTCTGCACTTCTCAGAGTCGCCCCCAATGTGGACATTTCCCACAGATGCCTGTATTTCTCTAACACTTTCTGAGCCTTTGAGAGGCAGCAGCAATTCACCATGGAGAAGGAAATGGCAGCCCACTCCAGTGTTCTTGCCTGGAGAATCCCAGGGACAGAGGAGCCTGGTGGGCTGCCATCTATGGGGTCTCGCAGAGTCGGACACGACTGAAGCGACTTAGCAGCAGCAGCAATTCACCTTGCCCGAAGAGCAGCCTGGAAGTAAAGGGCTCCGTGGTTGCAGCTTCCCCTGCCATCAACTAAAAATGGAAGCACAGAAATCTGATCAGTTAAGGTTTGACATAACTTTGGTCTGAACAGAAAGCCTCTTTGCTTAGGCAGCATGTAGGAGAGAAGCAAGACATTGGCTCCTCAAGAATTTCTGTTTGATTTCTTGGTAAAAAAAAAAAAAAAGATGCTAATGTTCTGCATTTAAAAATAAATAAATAAATGGACTTGACTGTTTCTGAAAGTCAGCCTCTTGTACAGCCTTGTCATCGCTAAGCTTTCCTCCTGCAAGCCTCCAGGTAATTCAAGCCAACTCCCGATTCTCCTGCCCCAAACTCTTTGTTACTCCTCCCTGCTCCAGAACAGATCACAAGTTTCCAGCCTGGTTGAGCCACTGAAACCCTTGGGAAGCTTTTAATATGAATCTGCAGACCTCAGTGCAAAGCCACGGAATGAGAAGAGCTGGAAAAGTGAAAGTGAAAGTTGCTCAGTCGTGTCTGACTCTTTGAGACCGGTGGACTATGCAGTCCATGGAATTCTCCAGGCCAGAGTACTGGAGCCTTTCCCTTCTCCAGGGGAGCTTCCCAACCCAGGGATCGCACCCAGGTCTCCCAGATTGCAGGCAGATTCTTCACCAGCTGAGAGCCACAAGGGAAGCCCAAGAATCCTGGAGTGGGGAGGTGATCTCAGGAACTTGCTGATTTGCTTTGGTTTGCCTTGCCTTTTTAGTGATTTTAATACAGCAGGTCAAAAACGGCAAGAGCCTGGAAATCACTGCTACAGATGAAACTTCTGTTTTGAGGTGAGTGATTGAATTAGGTGAATTTTAAAGTGGTTTTCTACAGTCAGGATCTGACTGGTGATGGGGGGCATGATAATCAGAGTCCATTACGGGGCAGTGTGAGGAGTGGGCAAATAGGGTCTGGGTCTTGGTTCTATGACTTACCATTTGACCTTCACCAAACTACTTCACTTCTCTAATCCTCATCTGGATTAAACATTCATCTAATCTAATCTGTAAAACGGGAGACATTATACCAACATGGTACAATTTACCTGGCATTGCGTACAGAGAAGGCCTTGTGCAATAATAGTAAACTGATCAACTCAACACACGTTAGTTCTTATCAGTGACTTCAGATTTAATTAAACAATCACTTAAATTCTTAATTTGATTTTTTTTTTAATTTAAGCAAGGGCTCTATCATTGACTTCCATTGGTATCCAGACTCTTCTTTGGGAGCTCAAATCTGCTTGCTGTGTCCGCCACAAGGGAAAAGAAGGCCATGCCTGGCCAGAGGTGGCCGACAGCCCAGGGAACTCTGAAGTCGAACGTTTGCCCGGGTTAGCTGAGAGGTTGCTGAAAGGTGTTTTCCCCTGTCTTCAAGAGCTCTGGAGCCTCCAGAGGCAGAGCTGTAATTCCACAATCCCTCTTGGAGCAAGGAGTTAACAGGAGGATTTTATATTCTGTCTGCAGCCTCCTGGGCAGCCTCCACCCCCCGCCCCCCACCGCCCCTTCAGTCTTTTGTTGTGTTTACTAATCAGAGCCCAGAAAGGAGCAGTGGAAGCAATCTGGTCATATAATTATAATTGTTTATGCTTCTTAATATTAACATCATCATCCGGATCATTTCTGTTGTTATTCTTACTTAATGTCTAAAAGGCCCACAGGGCTCTCAAGGTTTACGCAATGGAGATGCCAGTTAAAGCTTTGGCAGCGCCCGAGGTCAGGCCCCAGGGCTTGCGGAGGCAGAGGTGACAGTCCCTCTCTCACTCAACGCGCCACCGGCTTCCACCGACAGCTCCTCCTTCATCTGCCAGCCCCTTTCAGAGACAATCTGTAAGGCATTTCCCTGGGACTTGAGGGAATTGCAAATTTATTCTCCTGCCACTAGGTGGCAGGCAACATGATGTGCCTTTTCCAAGTAAGATATTAAACGCACTCATAAAGGATCCCCCTCTGTCTCCAAGCATTTATTCCTTATAACACAATCAGTAAATCTCAAGCTCATTTCTGATTTCAAGCTCAACTTGCTCCATGTCTGAGAGCACCCTGGGTC